AAATTGAGTCCAATCAGAATCTCTCTGATCATATTCTGCTTGAATTTGATTTCATGTGTGTACAACCATTGACAGCCTTAATTTCAGTAGAGCCCTGGTCCAAGTAGACAGAAAACTTTCTGCAGGTACCCGGATCCTGATATCAGAGGACCCGCAGAAAAAAGACAGCTTATAAGGATGTACTCTCATCCACATGGATAACAAGTGAACCTCCTCTCACCTAAAAATACAAAAATAAAATAAAACAGAAGTACAAGGGCAACCCCTTTAATGATAAGATAAGCTTGCTGAGAACCGGGCAGTTTCTTACACTGACCAAGTCTCAACTGATGAGACCTCACCAGACCCACTACTTGATGCAAATAGATCGGATTAGATTTGAATCAGTATATTCAAATTTGGTCTGATAATATTAAGGGGAGATCCAATCAAATCTCATAAACGTGAATTTAAATTCGAATCTGATGAAATCATTGGATCTTCGGATCTGATCCGATTCGATCTGATTTTTTTAAAAAATAAATAAGTTATTAAAAGAAAATAAAATATAACAGTTTAAATAAAGAAACACAAAAAGTAATATCTTTTCAACTATTTTAATCATATATATACATATTTTTTGTAAAAATAAATAATATAATAAATTTACAAAAATGCAACATAAATAATATATTTATAAATAAATAAATAGCATATATATATGTGTGTGTGTGTGTATTATTTATATAAATAAATAAATAACATATATCGGATCAGATAGGGGGTGATCTGAATCCGATCCAAAGATCTGAATTGAAGAGATCCAAATTCGGCAAAATAGGATCGGATCTCAGATCATAATCTGATCCATTTGCACCCTACAAAGAGAAAGAGACCCTTTTCCTGCACATGGGTTTCCCACAATGTCAACGTCAAGATGCCCCACAGCACATCCCAACTGTGTATTGGGAACATCTCCTCCCTACAAGGGGCCACTCCACAGCACACCCCCGTCGTATATTGGGAACATCTCTCAATGATAGTACCAGAACTGATGAGATGTTCCCAATACACGATTGGGATGTGCTGTGGGGCATTGTGGGGTGGCCCCTCGTGGGGAGGAGATGTGAACCCACCCTATGACAATGAAGCATGGGAGAGAAGTGCATGTGGGGAGCGCTCTGTGGGGCGCCAATTGGAACTCCTAGACTTGGGGCTGTCAACCTTTAAATCTTGATCCCTTGATAGAAGGAGCTTTTGTTCATCTTTCCAATATACTACAGAAACAGTGGGAAAAATGGCCAGCTCTCAGTCAGCTGTGGTCCATTCCCTCCATTCATGAATCATGATGAGTCATGTCCCTTTGGCAGAAGATGGAGGAGGAACCTGTTCACACACGGGAGAAAGGATTTTCCAGGCAATATTGGGACCCACACGAATAAATAATTGGAAAGAAGTGGGAAAGACTTTTCTGGCTTCAGACACATAGAGCCAAGCTCATGAACAGTTGTGTTTATGGTACATATCATGATACTACATGAAGAATTTCAGATTTTTCTTTCTCCCTTTTCCACCCCACAATGAGTTGATCACACCATCCCGAAAGGATCTGATCAGATGATCAGACCATCACATTAATGTGGGTTTTGGATCATTCGATCAGTGGCCCCACCTCCTTGATACACGGTCAGATCTAGAGCTAGTGATGAGAACTTGAGATTGTTGAGGGAATGATGGTGTCATGAAAAGCTCCATATGACATCATTGATTTTTAAAGCTATAGTATGATTTTCTTTTTTAACTCTCACTGTCTCCGCCAAAAAATCAGATAAATAAAAAGTTTGTTAGAAAGTAGAAAGCAGAAACCACAACTGGTGGATACCCTCTTGGCATTACCTGATCAGTCCAAAGCCCATATTCATACCAGGCCCAAGCCCACTAATTTTGAAATTTCAATTTTAAAATATATTTATTAGTTACTGTATCTGGGTCTGGCTGCTCTCCAAGTTTCCTGCTTTCCTTGTCTTATACTGTTTTTACATGTTTCCACATCGCTGTCCTTTTCCTTCCGGCAACCAACCGGGTTCTTGGAAACGCAACCGGTGGGCCGGGCCCACCAGGTCCTCGGAAAGGCAAACCCACATCTCATGAAGGTACAGGAACAGGAGAGACGGATCTGCTCCTAATACATGTGCCTCACACCAATCGCACAGGCACATCCCACCGTGTACTGTGTGTTATTATGTATAGGAGATATTTCCAATGCACGTGGGATATGCTTGTATGGTCGGTGTGAGGAGCAGATCCAAATTCCAGGAACAGGGGGTGGGAATTACCCGGAGGCATCGCCAAATGGGCCAGCCCACCAGGAATTTCTGTAAAGATTCGGGCTGTCCTCAGGCTTGGGCCAATTCGAATATACTAAACTCTGGGCCCAGGCCTGACAGGGTAAGTCTTTTAAACCTTACAGCCCGGGACTTACTCCGATCAAGTACAACCTGGATTATTACAAAAGTGTTTTTTGCGCTGTAAAAGTGCTACGGCCTTTTGTGACTTTGTTTTTTGAGGACAGTTGATAATTGTTAATTTGTTATTGAAGTCTTATAGACAACCACTATGCTCTATAATACTCATAAGAAGTATAGAGAGTATACATCTGAGTATCTGATGCATGTTTGTGTTATTTGTTTATTCATGCAAGTGGTGCCCACATTCCAATAGATTCCCACATGACAAATCTTAGTGGCCAAAAAACTATTATTGATAGAACAGAGAATTCCCCAAATAACAAACCAAACCCATCCAGTATCTTACTGCTGGAATATTCTTTAAATCAAATGGTCATTTTGTTGCAATATAGATAAAAATATTTGATTAGGGCTAGAGCTAAATATACAGACCAAGTACCATAATATCATGAATCATCCACTGGAGTGGCGGATCCACCTGAGAAACCATAACATCATGAATCATCCGCCAATGTATAGACCTAAGGTTTGTATCGTATCGGGAGCTTTCCGATACGCCCCTACAGAGAATATCGGGGTTTTGACCGGTTTAGGGGTGAATGGACCTTAAACCGGCCCCTTTGAACTGTATTTGAAAAAAAAATTAAAAAAACAATTGATATTGCTCAATATGCCACTACCAATTAACCGAAATTAAGGTTGCAATTTGGGCAGGGTTGGCCCGAACCTAATCCAAAAAAGTTGGGTTGGGATTTATGAACCTGACTTTTACTTCGGGTTGGGTTAGGGTTGACCCCTTAGCTAACCCGACCCAACCCAAACCCGACTCTATAATACATATCATATATAAATATATGTTATATGTAATATATAACATACATGGATTTGTTTAGATGCATGATATTTGTATAGCTCCCATCATATAGCATCATGTATTTCTTTCAAGGTAACCACTTCATTTTATTCTAATAAGAAAGACTAAAACCTTAATAACATTATTTATGTTTTCAGAAAATTTTATTCTTTATCTCCTCTATGTTGTTTGTCACCTAAGAAAGATCTATCATAAGTCATAACTCATAATAAACTATAGTCATTTTTGACACTTGTTTTTCTAAATTTTGTACCAAAAGAACGAAAACCAAAAAAAAAAAAAAAAACATCAACAAATAAATACTAATGAAACATAGAATTAATATATGTAGTGAGAGTTGAGTTAAGATCTAAAATCGAGAAATTCTATGAGGTTTTAAAGGATGGGAAGAAAGTTGGGTTGGGCCCAACCCAACCTAAAATTGACTTCAGATTGGGTTGGGTTGGGTTAGGGTTGGGTTGGTTTGGTTGAAGGTCGGGTTGGGTTAAGGTTAGGGTTGGGGTTTAGAACTTAGGGTTGGCCTCAACCCGACCTAACCCGGTCCAACTTGGAACCCTAACCGAAACTATGTATATGTTTGGCATCGATGATGCAGATACAACACTGTTTTCTAATGTGTGGGTTGGAAGCACTATTTTCTAAGAAAACAATGTCTTTTTTTTTTGTTTGGAAACGTTGCTTCCAAGTAGGGCATTTCTTGGAGCAACAACAACGTTTTCTATTTAGTACCAATTCTCCAGGAAGCATTTTCAGCATTGGTACCTATTATCCAGTGCCACATCATGTCCCTGTCACTACCACCTCATGTCCTTGTTGGCATCAATGAGTTGTAGCTCTAGGAAACGCCAAATTCAATGTTGCTCCAAGCCATGTCTTCTCGATTTTCAATGAATAACTTGGAGCACTGTTTTTTACAGAAAAACGGTTCCAAACAAGCAGGTGTTTCCTAGAGCACTGTTTTTTCCAACGTGACACTGATGTGTTGCCATTTTATGGAGCAACGACATCGATGCCAAACAAACTCTATAACAACGTTTTAAAAAACGACCCGGAAATGAAACCGTTCTGACCACCGGTTTCTGGGTCGATGGTCCAACCATCCAATTCAAACAGACGATCTATTTTGACAAACAATTTTACAAAATAAAAAATGGTCAAAACCATTAAATGAGTCAACGGTTCGACCACTACATCAATGGATCGTTGACTTTTTCAACGTTTTTTACCAAAAGCAGGTTTAAGGTAAAACAGAATCGATTGCCTAGACAGTTCTCGAGTCGAACGGTCCGACCGTCAGATTAAAGGTCTGTTCGAAAACCTTGCTCTATAATAATCAATTCAAATTCTAAATTTTTCCGTTTTTCATGAATGTAATGATAACTGATAAGAAACCGGTAGACTCCATCACTGTTGTAGAAAATTTGGAGCCATGATTTCTTCTAATGTAATGACACTCGTGTAATGATAACTGATAAGAAACCCTACAAGATCTCGTTAGAAAAAGTAGAAAAAGAAATGGGTCAATTTGGATGGTCTATAAATCTGTGTATCGAATTTATGGTTTGCAACAGTTGGAACAGTGGAGCAAGAGGGCAAAGTGGGAAACTTGGGATTCCAATTTGGTGGTATAAACAGAATCCCAATCCCCAAATTAAATAATGAATTTCTTCATTTGGCAATCTTGCACAGTTCACAACAACAACGTCGACAAGTACATTTGGATTTTCAGTCCCCCCATAAACAAACTCAGAGACCAATCTTTAAACTAAAGCCCTCTTTTTGTTTGTTGATGTTTTGGTCCGTCTCTCCTCCCGAGTATTCAGTATTCTCTCCGGTTCGAACTTCATGGGCTATCTGTCTTGCAGAGCTGACTCTGCCGTCCTAACCTCCAACTCCCACACCACCACCGGTACCGGCACCGGCACTGTCAGAGCCCAAAGGAACAGTCACAAAGGAGAAACAGAGAAGCCCATCAAAATCCAGCAATTTGAATACAGTGACCTCGAAGCTGCCACAAATGGTTTCTCGGAGCAGAAACTGCTGGGTAGGGGCAGCCATGGCTGCGTCTACAAAGGGGTGCTCCGCAGTGGCCGCCTCGTGGCCGTCAAGAAACCCTCTCGAGGCGCTGCCCCACATGTAGCATCAGCAGCGGACAACACTAATGAGGTAGACAACGAGATTGATATCCTCTCCAAGCTCTACAGCCCTCGGCTCGTGAATTTGGTGGGCTTCTCCAATGACTCGAAGGACCGGCTTTTGGTCGTGGAGTTCATGAGCAATGGCACCCTTTACGACGTTCTTCATACCAGTCCTCGTCCGCCCACTTGGGGTCGAAGAATTCGACTTGCCCTTCAGACTGCCAAGGCCATAGACACCCTTCACTCGTCCGTTCCTCCGGTGATTCACAGAGACATTAAGTCGGCCAATGTGTTAATTGATCGTAATTTCAATGCTCGGTTGGGCGACTTCGGTCTGGCATTGCGGTGCCATGTCGACGATTTCCGGCTCCGGTCGACGCCGCCTGCAGGCACAATTGGGTACCTTGATCCTTGCTACGTTACGCCGGATAATCTGAGTACTAAGACAGATGTGTTCAGTTTTGGTATTCTTCTGTTGGAGATTATCAGTGGCAGAAAGGCGATTGATGTCGGGCATTCTCCTCCTTCAATCGTGGATTGGGCTATACCGCTTATACGGAAAGGGAAGCTTCTTGTTGTTTATGATCCAAGAATTCCACCTCCGAAGGACCCGTCTGTAAGGAAACAATTGGCAGTCCTCGCAGCAAAGTGTGTGCGGTCTAGCAAGGAGCGTCGCCCTTCCATGAAGGATATTGTTGAGTGCCTTACTCTTCTGAGTAAGTCCGTTCCACTCCATTCATGGAATGGTTTCTCTGTTAATCCATGCTTGATGGTTGATATAGTGGGACGCCCTGTTGGACATGAAAATACCCACTTGAATTCAAGGCCGAGGCAGCAAGTAGGAGAGAATGGGGATGTTGGGGATACCAGAAGTGCTCGACAGTTGAGGAATTTGAGAAGGGTGTATTCTGATTTGGGCTTCGGTCCCAGGAACAATTTGATGGATCTCATGGCTGTGATGGAAGGGGAGTCCAGTTTTCGTGGTGAGACCTGTGGAGCTCAACCTGTTCCTGTAGCATTTCAAGGTTGTGGCTATAGAGTGGGGAGTGGAAGATTTGTTGGACGGCGGAGAATTCGTTCTGTAGCTCGTGGTTTTGATAGGGATGTCTTCCAATTGAGGAGAAACCAATCTGTTGGGAGACGCTTAGAGACATTCACCAGAAGGAATGGGGCTGTTCATGAGGATAGTACAGCAGTTAATGCTCAAACTAAGGACCCTGTTTAGTTCTTCCTGATATTTAATTGAATGGCTATGTGGATCCTCTTTTTGCAATTTGACAAGGGATCATGGCTGAAGCTTACAACCTCCACTTGTCGGTATATCATTGTTGTAGAGTAGTAAGTAGTTCATTTGTCAATGCCTTTCATTGGAGAGGCCTTTCTATCATGTTCATATGTTATTGTTTTGTTGAATTAATTATCAGCCTAAATGTAAATGGAATGGACATCTCCCATGTCCCTATTATCAATGTGTTCATCCTTGTCTCTAATTCACTTCCTTTTTGTTTTAAGCTGATTCGCAATGTTTAGGTTACTGAAGATCTTAATCGATAAGTTCAGTTAGCTTCTATGGAACTCAAAGTATTTAGGTTGTAACGCTGTTGAGCTTACATGACTACCTGCTACCTTTTTTCTTCTATGTCTGCTATCATCATTGTTCTTCTTTCCACTATTGCCACAGCAACTGTAAATGGTGTACACCACAGAGTACTCATTATGCTGGATCTTCTGATGGATGTTATGTGACTAGAATTTTGAACCCCTGTTTCCCTCACTTCTATTTGAATCCCTTGAAAACATTACTGGAATTTACATATTACTTATGGATGGAACTCTTTCATTTTGGAAGTAGAGTGGCTCCATGTATAAGGTTGTTGTAATTTATACAAAAATGGTCTCATCTCCCTTCTGTTAGATCAATCTAAATTCTTAAACTGGAAAGTTCCCCTGCATCTTATCTCTGTTTTTGGGCCAGGAATGGAATGTCAGTGGCTTAACATCTCTGAATTTTGGTAACCATTGAATTGATGAATTCTCAAGATGGCATTGAAGTAATTTAATACGCATTATGGATTCTGGGTGATGCCCTCCTCCTTGAGATAGACATTCAAATTCTGAAAGCCAACAATTCCTGCACTTCTATCAGAGGCAATCTGGCAGGCATTTCTTGCGGATATGTAGTTCCTTACTATGTTATTTAGGTACTTTTTTCCCCAAAGTGCAATAAGTTGTGACCTTTTATGTTATAGTAGGAAAGAGAGCTGAAATTTGAGTCTTTGAAGACAATCATACTTGGAGAAGGGTTTCAAGGACTTGTCTGACAGTTGGTAACATATGTCTCTTAATCAAATATGAATCTGCTTATACCTTTGAATGGGTTTATGTTTTGTGGGCATTTCATGGAAAAACTAGAGCTAAATGAAAAAAATTAGCAGCATGGAGATTAGTTGCTGAACATCTGGCACTTGGATAGCAAACTTGGTAACCAATATTGCTTATACAAGAACTGACCATAAGCTGTCTAAGATAATCTCCTTTGAGATTTTGTATCTCAAACTCATTCCCAAATTTTTCTCGTTTACATCATTGTATTATCAGACATAATTAATGAATGAGCATGAGTGGGCCTTCTGTCATTATTCTTGTTATGCTATTATTTTCTTTTTGGTTGACGTGTATATTCAAAGTTTCTAAACAGTCATTTAATTCATCTACAGTCCTATCTGATTATTAAAACACTATACTGAGGTTCTTATGATAATTGAACGAACATTTCTATTTGGAGTCAATTATAATATTTTCTTCTTCTCTTAAGAGGAATAGTTCTGTGAATTGTAACTATTTGTCTTGGTCACTGGCTTGTGATTTGCCTATGCAAGAGGTTAATACCCAAAACCTAGCTTTTCTCACTCTGATAATTCTATATTTCATTACAAACCAGAATAATTCAAGAAAATTGAAACTTCTCTTGTCATCTCTTATGCTTCCCATGCAATCAAGTATTACTTGGACACAAGAAGTTAAATGCTGACTTTAGGATGCAACAGAGATCAAGTTTCTGGTTTCACATGCTGAGGCCACTTCATTTAATTATACATTTTATTTGTTAAGACTATTGGATCTTTCTTCTTGGACTAGCTAAATAGCTTGTGGGACCGTTCCATTCATTGAAGTTGTTTACTGTATTACAATGGGCACAATGGGCAGTCTTACAATTTGTAATACTTGATAATCTGTATTAGTCTAATGACAATAATAGGTAGCAGAGTGGTTGTGTCATGTATTTAATATTTAGTTTTATTTTAATATACACAACCTCTTAAATAATAATGGGGATATACATAATTATATTGTTATATAGGCTATTTTTAATGAATGACATGCTTTCTAGTCTCCATAAATATCATGTGCTTGCTTTTATTTTATGTTCTTACCTTCCTTTCCATTGAAGAATTGTTTTCAGTTGCACATAATATTGTACTTGTTGCTGTCGTCTCTTTAATCTAACGATATCCAACTTATGTTAGAAACAAAACCTTCTACATGTGTATATTTTCTTTTTTATCTTTTTTCCTGAGAAAATAGTATGACTGATGACTGGTTTTAGCTTAGTTGGAAGTTGTCACTACTAAGATACCGACTCATATTTTATGAGACACTTTGTCATTGGTAGCTCTAATATTTAGGTTCCTAATTTATTACTCCTGATATCTAATATAAAACTTGCTCCCATGAAGTATAATATAATAGAAAGCCCACAGTTTGCCATTTCATGGAGGGCATTATTTATTTCAACTTACTTTTTTGTTGGACTTTGTATCGATGTGTGTAGGGTGGGAGTGATTTAGTCTTTGGTTATGTCAACCAGTACATTCATTCTATTGCTGATAGATATTAATCATCCCCCAAAACATGCAAAATCTTTGAAAGAGAGGATTTAGAGATGCATCCGACCATTCTACCCAAAGTCCAACCAAATACCAAAACAAACCAACCTGTTTCATATAGAGATTACAGACAAAGGTTGGAGTTAAGATGTTTATGTATGTATAGGGAGAATAGATGTGACAGGGATTGATCAAACTTGAAAGGAAATACATGGTTTCCCTAGCAAGAAACAATAATTCAAGAATTGCATTGGATTTACAGCTCACAACTTCCCATTTGCATGTGCTGCATTCTTCATCTTCACCTTTCAATTGCTGAAAACTTGTGTTCTGTTGTGCAGTACATGTTGTAGACACATATGTATCTACACTTTATCTGGGTTAGGAGAATGGAGGTAAGTCTAAGCGTCTAACTAATTACAGAGGTCAGTTCCCCCCTCCTCTCCCTCTGTTTTTAACTTGCAGACATGTCATCAATCTCAATTTCTAACCAGGATCTTCCAACCGCGTAATGTTCGATTTATTATTATTTAATTTCTTTCATTGGTGGTCCAAGATCTAGCTCTGAGTGTGTTGGTCAGGTGTTGGGGTCCATGATTTGTGTTGTTTTCTTTTCTAACTAAATCATTAAAGAGTTGTCTTTTTGAGTCTTGAAAGAGAAAAGGTGTAACATCTCCATCGACAGGAAACTTTGCTGGTTTTGACCTGCTGGATCTTGGCGCCAAGTCAGCATCACTCATTCCTTCCCCTAACCCGTGTTTGTTGGTACTTCTTTGTGGGCCGTCCAGATTCCATTCTGAGCAGGCGATAAGAATTCATGGGGGGCCCTTTCATTTGGTAGCACATATTGCCAAAGATTGGATCAAGTGGGTGACTTGTTATTGTGTACATCTCTTCTGTCATTTTTTGTCCACTATTTTTCCAAGAGAAATGCCTAGGATACCAGAATTCTTTTCCCTTGTACCCCTTGAATATACAATTTTAAACTGCTAGGACCCACCTGAATCAATATGATATTCCATATGTGTGGTGTACAATTCATTTATTAGTAGAATAAAAACATGTCTCCTTCAATTGCTTTTTTTTCCCAATTGAGAACTGAGGTCCGTGAACCAAGAAATCTGTTTGATACTTCTTTTCTTATCCAAATAAATAAATAAGAAAGCATTATATTTGCAGTTAATACATTTTAGAACTTGATTAAAACTTCACCAAAAAAAATGTAGTGGGTTTATCAGACTTGTACATTTTCAGAATAAATATGGTGAAATCTTTCCATCGTTGGTGAAAAAATAGAAATAATATATATATATATATATATATATATATATTTATCCCAGTCAAGAGTAATTCTACAGTGCAAAAACACCATTTGCAGCACCTATACAAAAACACATTTACACCTTGGGTTGTAAACGTTACTCCCTTTGTTTGCAAACGATATTGCATCTGTGTGCAAATCAAGGTGCACTCCACAGATTCCACAACATTGTTTCTGATCACGGGATGCAATGTTAGAAAGTTGTAAGTGCAAAATTTACAGCCCAAGGTGCATTTCACAAAAGTGAAAAAATATAATAAACAGGAAAGTGCGTTTGGTGGGTGGGTCTTTTACCGAATCACATTTGTTTGACAATTCTTTTGTTTTTTACCATATAATCCATTTCTGGTAGTTTGGTACCAAGTTGCACACAAACATTCCCTTAACATGTGGCCCATTTTTTGGACCTGTACAGACTTCAAGATCATTTGATTTATTTACATCTCAAATTCTCTTATATTTTGTATTTAAAATCATGCAATCATACTACTTAGTTCGTTTTATTTGCACTTGCAGCAAACAACTGGATCTGATCAAAGCCGGGCCCATCCTAATGTTGCACAATGGGTATAGAGAAGTTCTTGATGGGTCTATTGGATCTTAGTTCCCAAATCCAATAAAAAAACAACAGCAGTGAAAAAGGTGTATTTGACTAGGTTTCACTTTCACCTGAAGGTCCTGATTTCTGAACCTTCAGCTTCAAGTTGGGTTGGAATTTTTTGTCCAGACATGAACTGGCCCAATTTTTTAGGCCCCCAGTACTTGTTTATATCTAAATTAATCTTGTCCAACCAATGTGGCCTGATTCAAGCCGGTAAGTGTCTTCTGAGCAAAACCCATCTGATTGGAATCTTTTCTCTTGGGAATTGGGATTGATTACGACCAGCATCTGAAAGGAATCCATGGATTGGAATCTTTTGCTTTGGTATAGCCTATAGAGGGTCATACCTGAATGAATATTCTTTAAGATGCCAGTCTGCTTATTATCAGCAAATAAAACCTATTTTCTTTTCAAAAAAAAAAGAACTTTTTATTGTCAATGCTAAAAAGAAGTAAAAGAAAAAAAAATATATTTATTAAAATTTCTTTCTCTAAAAATAGGTCTAGATTTCTTCTGTCAGACCCCTTGTTCTCATACAGCTTTAGAAGAGGGAGAAGAAGGTTAAGGTTGGTTGTGTGACATCAAAATGTGGTGATGCCTTTATCATCCTTCTGTTTGATTTTGGAAGTAGTTGGAGTGTCCCATTCAAGGGCAATCTACAATTTGGAAACACGTTTTGCAGGACCAATACTGTGAAATGCACCCTTCAGCTGTAAAGAGATGTAGAGACAAGTGATATTTTTTCTTTTTTTTTCTCTCTCTTTTG